TTTATTTGTGTCTGCAAGATCCCAAGACCGTTGCCAGCGGTCATATATAAAAGAATTTATAGAAAATTTTAAATCATTGAAAGGTATTAAAAATTGAGATATGGGAAGATCTAAAGCAGACTTGGCAGCCAAATCTGCTTGATCATTCCCTTTTATATCCATGTGACTGGGGAGCCAGCAAAGGACAATATCCTTGCTGATACTCTCGAAAGATAGTAGCAGACGATAAATGTCTGCTACTAATGGGTGATCAAGTTGTTTATTATCTATTGCTTGGAGAGAGGACAAAGAATCAGTAAAGATGATATGTTTTAAAAAAGGTGAGGATTGAATGAACTCCAGGGCCTGCAGAATAGCCTGAAGCTCAGCTGTAAAAATAGAAGCTGCAGGTGGAAGACGCACAGATATGGTCTCAGATGGCGTCACAGTAGCCGAAGCTATCCGATCACCATCTTTCGAGCCATCTGTATAAATAGGAGCATAATAACCATATTTAGACCTAAGCTCTCGAAAGAGAGACTTAAACACCGTGGAGCTAGTATCTTTCTTTTTATGTTGTGTTAGATCGAAATCGATCTTAGGTGGAGATATAACCCACGGTGGAGTCCTAAACAAAGGGGTATTCGCAATACTGTCATGGCTGATTCCAGCTCCAGACAAAAGGGGTTGTATGCGAATACCAAATGATGGAATAACTTTAGGTTTAAGCATATATAAATGCTCGTGGTAGGGTCTAAAGATGGTGTTATATGAAATATGATTAGGGAGTGATGAAATTTTTGTAGCATACTGCAGTGCTAGATTATCACGTCTGTCGTGCAATGAGGGCTCGTGCGCCTCGACGTATAAACTATGCACTGGAGATGTACGAAAGGCTCCTAAACTGATTCTAAGTCCTTGGTTGTGTATGGTGTCAAGCTCTTTAAGATAAGACTCGCGGGCTGATCCATACACAATACACCCATAATCGAGTTTGGATCTTATTAATGCTCGATATATTCTGAGCAAGACCTTACGGTCTGCTCCCCAGTCAGTGTTTGACAGGACTCTCAATATGTTAAGGGCTTTCAGACATTTCTTCTTAAGGCTCTTTATATGGGGTATAAATGATAATTTCTTATCAAATACCAAACCTAAGAATTTCGTTTCGTATACAACTGGAATGGGATTGCCATCCAGTGTAAGCTCTGGATCAGGATGTAAACCTCTTCTTTGACAAAAATGCATACAGACAGTCTTGGATTTCGAAAAACGAAATCCATTGTCAGTTGCCCATCGTTGAATATAATTCAAACAAAGCTGCAACTGACGTTCGAGAGAGAGAGAGAAATGGGGTGTAACGTCCACGCGACACTTTTCGGGACTAACATATGGTTCAATTCCATTTCAATAATTCACTTGCGCGTAGCAGTGAGAGGAAACCGGAGAAAAGCCAGGAGGTTGGACAGGCGACCCTACTCCTTGTCAGGCACAACCGGGGAATCAAAACCACGCCAGTTACTCAATAACAGACCTTACGATATAACGCGCACGCGCTAACATTCGGCCATCCAACCCCGCACCCCCACCCCCATGACTACTTTTTTAGAAAAGCCAATAGTGCCTGCCCCTTGAGCACTGAAGGCCTTAACAGGACAGTTTAATAACCAAGGGTTCTATCTAGGGATGAGGACGTCCGACTGAACGACTTTATTTTATGTCATAATTTTCGGCATGTTAAACATTTTATAAAATACAATAACTGTAAATATATTTACATGTATTTGGAAAAATATAAAAAAATTATTAGATGGGAACATCGTGCATGATGTAGGGCTAATAGTGTTAAACAAGTTCACATTTTCTGAATAAAGCAAATTTATATAAGATGATAGAGTTTCTCTGAATTGTATTGGCTATTTGTTCTTCGGGCAGAAGCAATTATATAATAAACAAAATAAGTCGACTTTGTTGGTGGCCATTGCGCCAAAGTTATATCCTAACAAGTACCCTCTAAGACCAAACAATAATCCGAATTCACTGTAAGTAGTAATCGGATATCGTGCTCCGATAACAGTATAATACCCTTTCTAGAACACCTGATATAACTTCTCGTTTATTGGGAACACCCTTTGTCGCATTGCATCATAACATTATAATATATTTGCTCTGTCGGTCGTCATTCCTTCTTCGAAATAGACATGCTGGGGAGAGATCAAATATGATATCACCAAATCAGTGACTGATAAGAACCCATCGCACGTCAAGGTTTGAGTCCCTCCCATCCAACAGAACTTAGTTGGACAGGTTATATTATGTTTATAGTTTATACGTTAAACCCCATTTCATTTCATTTCATTTTACATGTAAAGGTACACCCCCCCCCCCCCAAAAAAAAAAAAAAAAAAATTAAAAAAAATAAAAAATAAAAAAAAACTCAAACAAACAGAACCCATGAAAATTTTATTAAATCCTACAAAGGTCCAGCAAATTTCAAAAAAATTTGCTGAACTTAAACTTCAGTCTGCGTACGATTATTCCCTAAAGTTTCAGTTGTCTTGGTCGCCTTGCATAAAAGTCATGTTCTTTCCATAATATATGCTGCAAATAGCCTCTGCGGTGTTGGGGGCAAACTTGCATACGTCGCGCAAAATTGTCAATAACTCGAACACATTCATCTTGAGGGAATACTTACCCCGCTTTACATGTAACAATTTGCATGACACTCTGTATAAATATAACTTACCTAAGTAACAGGTTATTATTGTTGATAAAATACTAACAACTTTATATACATGTACATCCATAGTGAACGTACACCATATCTCAAATACATTCACAAATAAAGGATGTCTCGTTGTGATATGTGCATGACAAACAAAAAGGAAATCAACACCTTTTGTGATTCAGAACTCAATTAGGACAATGTAAAATAAATCGGCAATTACCTCGGTTATGTTATGTTCCCACTATCACGATTCGGGCAGTGGTTGAAATCGTGGTTTTAGTCGTGGGGTAAACGTGGTGATCCTTTTAGGTCTTACCATGTATTGAGATCAGTCCTAGCAATCTTGTTGATGGTATCGAAACATATCCGAACGTATCTGCACGTACCTACGAACCCAGAAGGCTCATTCCAAATTCCAATTTCTATATTCATGTCTTACCAATAAATTAGCAAATTGGCAGCACCCCTCAATTAAACAAATTAGAATTTAAATAAATTATAATTTTACACAACTAATTAGTGCTAGTTTACCTATCGGATGCCTGGGTCGGATAAACAAACACCCGTTCCTAATTACTAGATTCGAAATTCGAAATTCCAAATTCCAAATTCGACATAATCACAGAACATTACAATCATAATCGTCTCCGTCATCGCACCGCTAGGTCGATTACCGTTAAATTTTCATCTGGAATTTGAATTTTTTTCTGTTTTTTTGCCATGAACCGCCCCCTCACCCTAAACAGCGGGGCCATGGGCCCCTCAGGCCCATGTGCTCCCGCTGCTAAAGACCCCTACGCGCAAGCGAAATAAAATTGAACCATGTGTTAGACCCGAAATGACTAATTTGTGTTGAGTGGACGTTAAACTCCATTTCTGCCCCCCCCCCCATATTTACCACTCTCTCTTTTTCCAAGTTCTGCCATACTCCGTGGAAGCGGACGATAAGCCCCAAGAACGAACGAGCTATGCGCGAATAGTGCACAAAGGAGGTTAGAACTATATTGCTATCTTAAGGACAGTTAAAGTTCCTCAAAGGGCACGAAAGTTTGCCAGGAAGATAAATGGTTATTCCGTCTACCTATAGTAGTAGTAGCAGAGTTCCATTCCTCTCAGAATTCTGAGCAAAAACATCTCCTAGTGAATATTACAAACCGAGCATTCCGGGATATTATTTTATTTTTGTCTTGTATTAAAAGTGTTGATAATCATATACACTATTTTTACAAAAAGGCATAATAAAATGGACAACTTTAAAAACATATTTATAATGATTTTTGGAGTTTAAAGGGCCAATCCCGATAATATTTTGGAGAATAAAACTGCTTAATTTTCTGTTATAATCCCTTAAAATCCTTTACCTTAGGCCGAGTAACTAACTCAATATATGTGATACGTTTTCAAACAAATTAAACCTGTCAGTATTCATCTGGAAATGGAGACCGGTGTCCCTAACTGTATTATGCGGTGTCTGGATAAAACCAGACTTTTATTTTATAAAAATGATGTGTCGGTCAAATTTACCTTTCGTTATCAAGTACAGCACACTGTATGGACCTCTAAGGGAACGGGAATTGATTATCAGGTCACCCAACGAAAAAACTGACCCGAAATCTTAAAAGGGTTACGTGTCCGGATGAGCAGTTTTGATGTTCACGTCCAAACGACTCAATATTTGGAGCTGGAATTTTGAGACAAGGTAAATACACCACTCCTCTATATTTTGGCGCTTAAATGTCATACGTCCTCAAACTTTTATTTTTGAGACTCTGTTCAAATCGGGATAGTCCCTTTAAATATATTTTGTTTTGTTTTCATAGATTTAAAGTAAAACATTCAAACAATTTCGTGTGCGATATTAAAAAAATTGCCTTTTTAAATACAATACATATTTATTTCAAAATTTCTTAATCGCTCGGATGCTCATAAATTAAGTGTAATAGTTCCCCCGATTCTATTTTTATAACGGGAATCCCTGGAGAAAACCTGAAAAAACCGAAGTCATATCGCCTACAAAACTTCTTCACTAGGCCTATTGTCATGCTGGGATAATATATATATATATATGCCGCTCATTCCGTAAAGAATTAAATTAAGTTCGCCATGAACAATATCTAACGAAACCATTGCATTCTTACACCAAATATGCCACAGATTAGAATTAGGCGTGTTTCATATCACATATAAAATTGATTTGAAGAATTATCACTATCTTATGATTTAAGTGCCTGTGGATGTGCGAAACGACACTGCGCTGGTTTCTACAATGGAACGAAACTGTTTCATGCCCACGTGACGAACATGTGATAGGCAGTGGTTGCGAAAATGGCGGAACTCTTAGCTGACACTTGTAAGTTTACTACTAATAATACATTTTATCATCTTACACAGTTACACTCTGTGGCATGTTTGATTCAGATCAAAATAATTTTAAAGACTGCCAAAGATTGTGAAATAAGAGCAGGTACAAACGTTTAATAAATTGCCTTAATGTGTAGCCTACCTGACTTCCTCTGATTCTGTCACACTGACTGACACAGTGGCACACTCACAGAAAAATGATTTGATGTAAATACTTATTGATGAGTAACAGGAATATAGCATCATTTGCCAGGACTGCTGCAAAATAATGTACCAAAAAAAAAGTTACATTTGGGCTCTTGAATTTGCCAAATTAACGTAAGAAGAAGAAAGTATGTTGCTTATTCATTTGTGATCGTCCTTTTTTTTTCCAAAAATGTGGGAGGGAGGGAGGTTTTTATTTATTTATTTTTTTTTTAATGAATATACATAACAAGCAATATACTAAGGGAATATTAACCTTTTATTTCATGTCTAAACACAACTCATCTGCATATAAAGCCACTGATTGCCATTGGCATTGTTATTATGTTTTAAAGATTAATTATTTAAACTTTAGATATTCCGGCTTGGATTCAATCAGATAGAAAGAGATTTATAACTGAACACTTGCAAAATTTTCAATTCATATTATGTCTTTGAACTGATATTCTTTTTAGACATTCAACTTTAAAAAAAAAACGTTTTGCATAACGACAAACGATCACTAGTAATCGGTCAATTTAGTCATTCATGCCCCCCATGGTCATTCCGAAAATCTTTTGTTACATTTATTCGAATCGGCGAGGCGTATTCCTATCTTAACATATAGTTACAGGTTGTGTTGACAAATTGTATTCAAAATATTGTATTTGGTGCTGTCCGCGTGCAAATAAAAATGACGGCCATTGCTGCTGTTAACAGGTCGCAATTTGTTTATGTCATTCAGTCCTATGCATTTTAAGAGTATTGGAACACCTGTCAATAATTATATTCGTTTCATTAACTCTTGCGCTTAGAAATTTCGTAGCCTGGCTACATTTTGGAACTTTTATCATTGGTTTTAAACATTGTAAGAGGGTATATTTTGAAAATAAAAAATAAAAAAAAATTCTGGTCGGGTAGAATTTTCTGGGTGGTCGGGGACGATCACCAACTAATTTTTTTTATGTCGCCTTAGTGCTATTACTATTTAAACTATATTAGCAACATATACATAGGCCTATACATCTATATAAATACGGAAAACACATCACTTAAGGGCAAAGTTTTATTTTCATTTTAAATAAAACTTACAGTTTTTCAAATTTAACCAGAATTTGAATATTAAACATTTGTTTGTATTATGGTCAAAGCTAAATAAAATATCGACAAACATATATCATATTTACATTTACAACTACAAGTATATAACTTTTATGATTATAGAATAAGAAAATAAATGTCTGCAATTTTTATAGGGCTTCTTTTCTTTCTTATAATGCTGATAAGTAAAGCAAGATCATTAATCTATATTCACCACATAAAAAGACCAGACCGATTTGATTTGAATAAAAAGTTTATGCCATTTAAATTAGAGTAATCTACTGGTTTGTTTTGCGAAGTCGGTAAGCTTAACGAGCTGATTTTGTATACCAATGTCACCAGTTTAATCTAAAAAGGAAGCCAAAAGTGGCAAAGAACTGACTTTCACTTTTATTTTGAAACACAAATTTAATCATAACCATGTCCCATAACCAACCGAGGCAACACACCAGTTGAACCTTGAACCTAATTCAACGTTTTTACCATAACATAGGATTAACTGTATCCCACATAGTATAATGTAACTATTCATGGTTGAATGGAATATGTGTCATGTGTATATATATACGTGTATATATAAAAAATAACTTGACATGTCATTGTATTAGTCTCTTGATCATTGACCCATAACCCTACAATTGTATAACTCAGTAAGTGCATGTAGACCAGCAAAGGATGTTTAGAGTCATAGTTCATAGTATACTGACTTCATTATTTGGTCTTATAATAGCCTTAAAAGTTAATGCACATTAGGCCACTGTAATCCTACTCTTTGTTATCTATGTTATTGCTTAAGACTACCAGTTTGTTCCTAATCATGACCATGTTGCATCTCTGTAATACAATACATGTAAATCTTGGAGACTTGTGCACTCTGAATACTAAATCTTATCAGGCTGATTTTGATATTTTTTTTAACGCTTTCAGATTGAAATGACAATGTATTAGCCTGCCGTACATCGAAAAAATAATCTATTTTTCATCAGAATTTCATGCCTGAAGGAGTTGGTCTTGCAATTTTTGTAATAAGAAATTATAGAATATTATTTGTAGATTTTCAATAGAACTAGGCATTGATGAATCATTTATTAATATCATCAAAATATATTAGTTGTAATTAAATAACTGCTGTCAGTTGTTGTGTCTATTTCATGTCAAAGCAGCATCTGTTTACCTACATGTAAGTAATTGCCGCCTTCATTAGCCCAGTTGGAGCAGAACAGTTGGACAATAAACCCCATTTCATTTCTGTAAGCTTCATTTTCAAATAAATTCAAAAGAAAATGTTTTCAGTCATCAGAAGCAATATTTATCTTTGTGACCAGTATTCCATAACACCTGCCACTTAGCTTTGTTTTTGGTCTTTTTCAGGCGGTTTTCGCTTTTTGGTGTTGTTCTTTAACTGTATGTTAACATTTGGATCATATTTTTGTTTTGATATGCCCAGTGTTTTACAAGATACTTTCACACAGGTAACTCAAATATTTTCTTGACCCTAGTATACTAAGATATGATGCCTCAGAAAACTTCAACATCTCTGTGTGATAACTTGGATATTTTCATGATATCACGGTAAACTAGATTGTTTGTATGCTACATTTATAATATATTAAGATTGTTGCCATGGCTACAGTGAACATGTGTTTGTGTCAAAAATACATGCATCATTTGATTTATCTATAAATATGTAAAAAAAAAAGAAAGAAAACCTCATTTGGTTAAATATAGATGTGTACAAGGTAAGTCAGGTTATAGTCTAATTCCTAATGCCTAATTGGTTGCTAGTGCACATATTTAAATACTGAATTTTGAATAATGTCTTTAGTTTGATCTATTTCCACTAAATTTGAATAGATATGTGATTGAATATATTTAGCTTGAAAGTCCTCTAAAACTACACCTTAGGACATCATATATTCAAGAATTAATTTTTTCAGTGTAACACTAATATTATTGAAAATAACATTTTAAGCTTTCTGCTTCAGATATAAAAGGTTCCTAGGGTAAAAAAGAAGTGTTGCCTGGTGATGTACATGTATCTATAGAATGAGATCAAGTTTGTAAAAATTGGCTCAGCCTAAATCCTAAGGTTTTGTTTACATTGGGACCAAAATTGAAAATTCAATTTTTGTTTTGATGTATATTTTGCATAAGATTTGAATTATTGGTTTATTTTAGTTAATTAGTGGGATTTTTGTTTCAGCGCAATAATTGTACAAATGATTCCAAAAGCTTCCACGATGACAAAACCTTTGATTCTAGTCTCTATGGTAACGCATCTAGTCCAAATGTAACATGTAATAATTGTACAGAATGTCTTGGAATGTCTGAAGATAACTACAATCTACTTTATGCTATATATGCCTGGACGTGAGTTTTAAATAAAACAACACTTTTTTTTCTTTTATAACATTTCATTTTACTTTCTTTTCACTTGTCATTTTGATAAACATACCAAAATGTTAATGAAACTGTATTAACTGGGGGAGGATTCGAGTTAATTTTTAAAAATGTTCATGGATCAATAGCGGGGTTATGTCCCTTTGTTATGAAATGATGTAGCATTAAAGTGCATAAAGCTTTAACTCATCCAGAATCGTCGACATTACAAACACAAACTAATGATCCATTCCCATCAATAGTGATTTTGTTAACTTACAGTGAAAATATGGGCTGCTGATATCCAATATTTAAGACACAGTGAACAATTTTAAACCAGAAGACACTAGCATACGCTCTATGCTCTCGAGTGCAATTCGTAATGAGGCTTAACGTCAATGCGTAAGTGAAATGTTAAACCGTACGTTCAGTGTAATGGACTGCTCACTTATTTGGGCAAACAAAACTGACAAGATATTCGATAAAGATTTTAAAAAAAACTGAATGTAAATCAGTTTTTATACACTCATATTACATTAATATGTGCTGTTTGACTCAATTACGTTCCATTTTAGGTTCCAAAGAATATAGATATAGCTCCTTTAAAGGAAGAAACTCGGTTAATTGATATATTTTGATATGACAGTGAATGCATCAAAAGAAGTCAAAAAGTAATAAAGACTGTTGAGATTGTTTTTTTACCATCTTCTTTATTGAACTTGACTGAAATTTGAGAAATTTTAAGTGATATATCTAAAATAGTTTCATTTTATAAATTAGTGTTTGCTAACATATCTTAATTTTGTAATTTTTGCTTTTGTTTGTTTTAGTAATGCTGTTGTGGTAATTGCTGCTGGTTTCCTTATAGATAAATTAGGAAACAGATGTAAGTATTGACATCATTTAATACATTAATTAATATAAACAGGTTGCTAAAGGCACAGGTAAATTGATAATCAGATAATGATTATATTTGTTATATTAGACATATTGACATAACCTGGTTATAAATTTGAGAGGGCAATGGTATTAATTTTTGACTTTGAACCTGAGGTGTATTTACAGAGTAGATGTGTGACTGAATTTTGTTATGACCAGCCATTACTGCAAAAGTTAATGTAGTTCATTGTTTTGATGAATCAATACTCATTCTTTTCATCACACCAGAATGTATAGAAAGTAAACTTTGGTGTCTCGAAGATCTTTAGAACTGGAGAGAAATACTCTGAAACCCTCACTGAGATTGATCAAATGACAAATAGAATGGGGTTTAACATCCTACAGTTCTGCTCCAACTGGGCTAATGAAGACTGGCATACACCAGTGTGCTATGAGAGAAATTTTGCCTGGACAGTGGAGCTACTTCCTACTCTTATATCGAATTCCAACTACCAGGGGATCTTTTACATGCATGCCAATGTGTACATGGGACCTTGGTTTTTTGTCCCATCAAAATGACTAGACAGCTGTCCTTGTCAGGTCCTGCACCGGGAAAAATATATATCGGATAACACAGTCTCGCCGACCCTATTATTAGATATCACAATCTCCCAGGCCTGACCCTTATAACAGATACCATGATCTCCTTGGCCTTTACCTGTTTATCTGTATCATGATCTCCCTTGTCTGGCCCTTATATCATGTATCACAATCTCCCTGACCTGGCCCTTATACCAAGTATCCCAATCTCCCTGACCTGGCCCTTATACCAAGTATAACAATCTCTGACCCTTATATTAGCTCCCTGGCTTGGCCCTTATATCAAGTATCAAACCCTCAATGGCCCTTTTATCAGGTATCACAACCTCCCTGTCTAGCCCTTATATCCAGTATCACATCACAATCTTGATTCTTGACCCTTATGTCCTGTATCACAGTCTCCCTGGTCTGGCCCTTTCATCAGGTATCACATTACTCTGTATCTCACATATCAGGTATCACAGTCTCCCAGGTCTGGCCCTTATATCAGGTATCACAGTTTCCCTGGTCTGGCCCTTATATTTGAATCACGGTCTTCCTTATCTGTCCCATATATTAGTTCTCCATGGCCCTTATATCAGGTTCTTTTTTCATATTATTGATAAAAATACAAAAATGTTGGGGTTTTTTTTGCAGTTGGAGTTTTCCTCTTCTCATTTTTATGTGTTGTTGGATCATCGACATTTGCTGTTGGTGTAATGATGAAAGGAACAGCAGCCATGTTGCCGTTAATGTTGATAGGACGTCTGATCTTTGGTTCAGGAAATGGATCATTAACAAGTAGGTTCAGCAAGAAAATCTAGGGTTTTACATCTTAATATCAATTCTAAGACTGGTTTTAAAAAATTTTATTGTGTGCCAGGAATTTAGTCATGGCAGCAGCACTATGATTAAAAATGCGTCTTTGTTGTCATGTTATACGAGGACCATTCTTTGCACTCCCATATGTTACATAAATGATAGTTAAACAGATTCCAAATATAAATAGGTGATGTACTGAACGTTTTCAAAAACACACTTTTATGGATAACAGTTACTATGGTTTATTTCACTGCGGCGTTTCAACAAGGTTTCACAAGTCGTTATCAAGCATATACACAAATAGATAAAAAAATGAGAAAAATATGAATATATATATACAAACATCAGTGCGAACTATCCAATGGAATGCATGAGAGTGAACCTTAGTAGCTATAACAAGCTATTGATGTAACAAAGGTGCATAATCGTATATATTAGTATAAGCTTATTATACAATTAAAAGATCAAACAGGGGATCAACTGAGATTATCAAATATTGAAACCATACACATTATACCATAACTGAAACCAGTATATACTAAGATTGACTAAATAAACATTCAAGAAGATCAAACTGAGGGTTTATAGAATTATATCGAAACCATAATCTTTTCATTATATTTAAACAGATTCCAAGGTGAAATATAAATAGGTGATGTGCTGAATGTTTATATATATTTTGCTTTTTTTATACAAACTTAAAAATTAATGACTAATATTGTGGCCATAATTATATTATATTCAGTTGTACAGAACAGAATAACAGCTTACTGGTTCAGAAACAAGGAGCTAGCTATGGCTTTTGGTATAACTCTGGCTTTTTCAAGACTTGGTAGTGTGTTAAACTTTTTCCTAACTCAGAATTTTGCTCAAGTTTATGGTCTACAGTGGACTATGTGGGGAGGTAACAATTATGAACATTTATCAAATTTTGCAATCAAAAAACACTATTCTCGACGTAATACTTTGTAATGAAATAAGTGAATTATGCCATTATACATTGTGGGCATGGGTGGCTAAGTGAATTAACATGCTATGCTGTGGATCATGAGGCCTATCATCTATGCAAGCTGTGAGTTTTATTCCATAACTTCCAGTTTTTCTTCCATTGCTGAAGAGCTAAGTATGGAAGGAAATGGTTAAAATAAAGAATTGACATAATTATTAGTCCCAGAATAACCTAGTTTTGGTGACTTGACGGTAAATTCCATTTCTGTCTTTATATATTATTTTAACCCCTTCGCACTTAGACAGCCCCAAACTGCCCTGTCACATGGACAGCTGTGTGGCCCGCAAAAACTAGTAAATGGTCCTATAATACAAAAAAAACTATTCACATATCTCGGGCGGTTTGAAACAGCAAAAGTTTTCTAAATTCTCATTATGTTGTCCCCAATTGTGTCAAAATTTACACAATAATTTTGTTATTTCTAGGTGCAATGTTGTGTGGAATAGGTTTTGTTTCGGCCATTGTTGTTAGTTCTTTAGATAAATGGGGTACAAAACAGAAAGGTGATGATGAGACCTTAAGGTCAGATTCTAAAAAGTTGGTAAGTACTGAAATTAGACTATTCTTCCTGTCCAAACTGGGACTTTCATTAGGACATAGAGAGTAATGGGGTTAATGTCCACTCGACACAAACTAGGTCCCGTAGGGGTCTTTAGCAGTAAAAGGAAACCATATTACCCAGAGAAAACCCACAAGGTTGAACAAGCCACCCTATTCCTTGTCAAGTACATGAGACAAATCCCTTTGATAAAATACTTAATCATTCAATCTAGTCTGATTTGAAATAGCTGGTCTATTTAATAGGTTAGTCTGATTTGAGATAGCTGGTCTATTTACTAGGCTAGTATGATTTGAAATAGCTGGTCTATATAATAGGTTAGTCTGATTTGAAATAGCTGGTCTATTTAATAGGTTAGTCTGATTTGAAATAGCAGGTCTATTTAATAGGTTAGTCTGATTTGAAATAGCAGGTCTATTTAATATGCCAGCCTGATCTGATATTTGTAATGACCTTAGAATAAAAACATAACCTCAGCCAAAGAATCTACATCTAATATCTTTGTATGTATTTTACTCATCCATTTCACTTTTTAATGATTTGAAATAGCTGGTCTATTTAATGGGTTAACCTTTGTTGAAATAGTTTGTCTATTTAATGGGTTAACCTTTGTTGAAATAGTTTGTCTGTTTAATGGGTTAGCTTAATGTGTTGAAATAGTTGGTCTATTTAATTGCCTAGCCTGACTATTTGTAGCTGGTCTATTTAAAGGCTAGCATGATTTGAAATAGTTGGTCTATATAATGGCTAGCTGGATTTGAAATACCAGCAATATCAAAAAAAAAAAAAAGCAATATCACTTCGGTGGAAGCTATTCCACACTTTGAAATCCCTTGTGTATTTAAAGGGACAATAACACTCTTGCTGGCTTGAAAGCTCCAGAAAATAAATAATATCTCTATCTAAGTACTAGATGTTTAAGTGTCCTACCTGTTGTGTAAATTATCCATTACATCCTATTTTACTTGTCCAGAGAGTTCGAAAATATTTTTAAATCGAAGTTTCATTTGAAAAGGTTTACGTTAGACGTTTCAAACCATTATGTTGAATATTTCAAAATTTTTAAATAAGGTGTGTTAAGATGAAATTTGTATCATCAATTAATTGAAATATTCTAAAATAGTACAATTTTTTGACCAGAATAAAGATTGGGACATATTATTCAGTTACAAGAGTGGTATTGAGCCTTTAATGGGCAAGTCTGATTTAAAATTGCTGGTCTGTTTAATGGGCTACACTGATTTGAAATAGCTGGTTTACATAATGACAAAATTTTGATATTGATAATGTTCGTTCTATTTCAGAAATTCACAGACATCCGGTATTTCACATTACCCTTCTGGCTTCTTGTTCTAGCTATTATGTTCTTCTATAATGGAGTATTCCCATTTGTTGCAGATGCTAGGTAACAAATCTTTAACGCTTCATGAACTTCATATTATAACATTTATTTATATAACTAATTAAAGCCAAACAGTCAAAAGTAATTGAGAACCTGCCGTTAGTGTTTTGGGCACTACATTGACATGTGGACTTATTAAGAGAACTGCAAGTCACAGACGGAAATCCAGACGCTTATGTGCAGAGGGCTGTTTTTGCGCTATTGGGAATTTTCTTATCCTTTTTAGAGACAGTTTCTTGAGTACGTGATTATTGTTTTGCTCTAGACCATTTACACATAATATTCAATTTACATGAAAGTAATTTTCAAAAGTCTTTTTGAATAAAGATCACTAATTGTTATGTTACAGTAAATTTATTAAAGATAAGTATGATCTGCCTAAAACTACGTCTGCGTATCTTGCGGGAGCTGTTTATGATGTGTCTATGGTTGTTTCTCCATTCCTGGGAGGTCTTATTGTAAGTATTTATATATTTAATTGATTGCTTCTTCTAATAATTATTAATAATGGTCCAAGTAACCTATTTCTTAGGTTTAGCTTATTTTCAGTGTTTAATTTTTCAACCCAGCATTTTACAAAATATTTGTTTAAGATGGGTGAAATATTTATCATCTGTCTCATTAAATAACACAAAAATAATAACACCTAGGCCTAGGGTATGTTCGATAGAGTGTCTGGATGTTCTGAATTAACAGAATTACAATCAAGTGTCATAGTTCTGTTAGTCTTGATGTGTGAGAAGAATCATGACAATAAAAAACACATCAATCATGTTGTTTTATCTTTCATGATTGACCAAGTTACGATCTTATTCAGTCAAATAAACTAAATATTTGGAACAATAGAAATGTTTTAGTCAGTAATGTGAATATTTATGTAACAAATATGGATTAATTTGTAAATTATTTATAAATTATTGGTAAGCAGGGAATATTTATGTAATACAAGTTATATTTATAGCACGGCTTTCATGAGTTAACAGGTTAAAATATTGAGGCCGTAGGCCGAGATGTTAAACCTGTAAATGAATGAAGCGTGCTAAAAATGACTGGTAACATTGACACCTGCTCAAGATGCTTGTTGTTATTGCAAAGAAATCCCACCCCACTTGTCTATATGATTTCTACTAAAACTAGTGTAAACCAGCAAAATAGTGTAATAACATTGAACATGTCTAGTTATTGCACGGTTAAAACTCCATCCAATCTACTAGACGGAAATCAATCTGCATATGCAACAAAAAGAACCAAAAAAATTTCCCGTCCATGTTACAAATGTATTTATTTATAAATTACAGGATGTTATTGGTAAGCAGGGAATATTTATGTAATACATTATGTATTTATTTATACATTATAGGATGTTATTGGTAAGCAGCGGTATATTTATGTATTATATATATATGTATTGATTTGTAAATTATTTATAAATTATAGGATGTTATTGGTAAGCGAGGAATATTAGCCCTAATTTGTGCATTATTAACCATTCCTGTATTTGGTATATTGGCCTTTACATCTGTTTATCCATTGGTTGCTACTCTCTGGTTGGGAATAACTTATTCATTTGCTGCGGTAAGTTGACATACATTTTTAAATAATCTCATTAGACAGAGATTGGTTTATAATAATAATAAACCATAAATTCCCATATGTAAGGTGCTAGTTCCACTCAACTGCTTGTTTTCAGATTAACATATATATTTTTATTTGAATATTTTGTTTGCATGCACAAGTCTTTATTGATAGGAGTCCAGATTGGAACACATGGAGAGACCAGAGTGGGTTGATAAAATAATTATTTTAAAAGAGAGAAATGGGGTTTAACGTCCACTCGACAAAAACTAGGTCATTTCGGGACTAACATATGTTTATTTTTTTTAAAATTTTATTTCAATAATTCGCTTGGGCGTAGGGGTCTTTAGCAGTGGGAAGAAACCGCAGGACCCGGAGAAAACCCACGAGGTTGGACAGGCAACCCTACTCCTTGTCACGTACAACTGGGGATTCGAAACAAAGCCAGTTGACTCAATGACAGGCCTTATGTTACAGCACGTACGTGCTAACCATTCGGCCATCCAAATCCCCCAATTATTTTAAAAAGTTGTTCAGCTTTTATATTTAATCTGTATACTAGTTATATAAATTAATTTGACTGATTGTTATTTTTTCATTAGGCAAGTTTATGGCCATCTATACCACTGGTAGTAAGTCAAGCTACTGTAGGTACAGCTATGGGTGTTACGACATCAGTACAGATGATTGGTATTGGTATATCTAATCTTGTTGTTGGAGAAATTCTCGGAAAAAAGTAAGAATAAACTCTAAAATGAGGCTGAATTATTTGAGTTGAAACAATTTTATTTAATAAATAAATTTGCTTAATATCTAGGATCCAAATCCTCCTCCCAACACTGATTAGTGTTTTGTTTCCATTTGTAACTAATTAGTTAGACTATTATATGCCTGTGGGCTGTTACCTTGTTTATCAGATTTAGAAATCAAACGATTGCAGTTTGTGCACAATTATACTGCTACCATTCTTGTTACATGAACACGATTTGGACCATTACTGAATATCTCCAAGAACTGCAGTGGTTACTATTTCTCATTCTTGTTACAAGAACATGATTTGGTTGGACCATTACCGAATATCTCCAAGAACTGCAGTGGTTACCATTTCTCATGGTTATACGTACATGTACCGATAGTACATTTAACTAATTTTGGACTATTGCACTACATTCTTTCTTGGTTATAGTTCAGACAAGACTGCTCTAGGTAAATTGGATAGAACTCATTTTCCGTGTCTGTCACATTCCTATAGAACAATCTTCCAATAAAATTAATATCCAAAAACTTTTGTCTTCCTCCAATACTTTTAAAGATGCATTATGTAAGAGCTAAATCTGCCTATTGCAGGTATTATTTTCTAGCTTCAAGTCTTATATGAATTATTATTTAGACATTTATTCACATGACAAGCCAAGAATGAAGTAATTTGAATGAAATTTTCGATATATTCATTTTTCATTATCTATTTTTGAATTATTATAGCATGAACGGACAGCTCTTTATCTAAATCTTACATAATGGATCTTTAGATATGTAGAACAGACTAATTATTCTAACATGCTTAGAAATACAATGTAGTGCTATTAATAGACAGATAATAATAATAAAAACTGGTAATTACCAGGTAATAACTTAAACATACATTATGCAAGAGCTAAATCTTCCTATTGCAGGTCTTTCTTTAGGTCTTAAATGTTATCTAAATTTTTAATTAACTTACCAAGACCATAATCAACTCTAGATGCCATCGGATGCCTGCAATATTTAGTGGATTCAAATATATTTTCTGGTGGATGCTTTTACCGTAAAAATGGATAATCAAGACTTTGTTTATTATCGTAACAACGGTAGTAATGATGATTGAGGCTAGACTATAATTATATTGCCAATATCTGGGCTCAGATTAAAGTAATTTTACTGAAATTTTCAGCATATTCTCTTTTCATTATATATTTTGTAACTGTTATAGCGAGAACTGTCAGTTCTTTATCTAATCTTACCTAAAGCCGCTTTAATATACCTATAATTTATTTTAGTTTAACTGCTGTTGAGAGATTAACCAGATGGAAGTATGTTATGATATTCTTACTGGGCAATACATTAGCTTGTGTGGCTACAACACTTTTGATGAATATAACTGATAAGAAAAGGGTTTGTTTATTTTATTTTTATTGTATATTAATTAGATATGGGCACTCGAGTTTGGGCAAATATTAAAGTGATCATTTTATTAAATCTGATGTGTGTATCATAGTAAAGCAATGTTGGATTGACAACATTTTGTTTATCTTATTTATTGTAGCGAAACTACCTGGTAATCACTTAATATACCAATAATTTTATTTTCCTGAATCACAAAAACTGTATCTTTAAAATACAGATTTGACGTCATCCTTTGATGTTGGTGTATCATTATTTCAAATAATGGTACAAGCAATATGCCAAGCGTATATTATTTATACTAGTTAAAATTTTGGACCCGTGTGACGTATTTCATTGCAAAGCCCATGTGAGTGTCTTTATTTTTTAAGTTACTTAATGGTCTTGAGCTTAAGACATTGCGTAATATATTGAAACAAGAACTTGTGTCTATCGTCACTCTTGTTGTTTCAATATATTACTTAAAGGAGCTAAATCACTAATATTTGGGACCTACAAATTGACACAAATGGGTCGCAACATATATAATAATGTAATATGAATGTAAATAAACTGATTTACATTCCATCTTTTCCGTTTTACTCTCATTTCAAAGCAGTTATGTTCGGCGAAATATGCCAGAAGTCTCAATCGAATGGTATTCTCTAGCGACTGGTTATTCCAGTCTATACCGATAGTATTTATTGCGCATACTCTCCAGATAAAAATAATGGGGTCACCGTTTGACATGACTTGTGCAATATGTCTAAACTCGTTCTTCGGGTCGCTTGTTACAAATTGCACTGAAACGCATTATGGTACACGAATCCAATCGTAAAATGTTTATTTTGTCTTAAATATTGGATATCAGAAGCCCATCTTTTCCCGGTAAGATCACAACACCAGTGTGGATTAAAATTGACAAATAATTCATGTTTTCAATGTCGAAGGTTTTGGATGATACTGAGTTAGAGACTTAGCTACTTTAATGTCTCGTTCTCGACCATTAAACCACACTTAGTTAACAAAGGAGCATTATTTCATCTTTTACATTATACTTTATTTCAGGGTGGTATTCTGAACTTGAGTCGTAAACAGAAACTACAAAAGTTACATGATGTAACAGAAAGCTTTAACAGTGAAAGTGGAACATATGACACAGATTCTGAACGCCAACCAATTCTGGGTGCACGACATCGTAGTATTAATGCCTAATCACACTTTTCGGCACAGGAAATCAGGGTTTTTTTTGTTTGTAACACTGAATTAATTTAATTGATGATTGTCCAATTAAATAGGCATCATTGTGCTGTTGAGCTATTTGAGATCTTCTCCAGTTGGTAAAAATATAATTCCCTAATTGATGGGATTTGACTAAACAGTTATATTGAGATGTTCAGATTTGACAAGTATGCCAAATCATCCCCAAAATCTACTCATTTAAACTTTCAATTTACCAGTCAAAAAAAATTTCTATTGCTTTTTGAAGAGTCTGCATTTTGAGATGCTCAGATTAGACAAGTATGCCAAACTATCTCCGAGAACTAGTTGTTTCAGCTTTCATTTTGCTAGTCAAACATATTTTCTGTTGCTTTTCAAACAGTCTGTATTCAGAATTACCTTATCTAATGAGACCAGTTTGTATCAAATTAGAAAAATCTTCTGACATTATTTTTTTGAATATTTCTATAATTTAATGTTAGTGCTGTCAATAGTGCAATTGTTAGGTCATAAGTGTTTTTTTGTTTGTTTGTTTGTTTATAGGCTTAAAGGTAGTACAAACTACCTTTGGAGATCTTTGACTAACTAGTTTGTATCAATTTGTTTGATTGTTTCTTGAATGCAATCTTATTATTATTAATATTGTGCAATTGTTAAATCATATGTTTTCTTATTTATTTTTTTAAAATAGCTTTCAACATTTATTTATAATAATCTATCATTGTGGTATTGTATAATTATATGAATGACATTATGAACTTTGAACTTTATTACAGGCCAAGCAAAAAATTTTCTGTAACCAAGAACTTATATACAAATATAAATATTATACTTTGTGTAGTATCATGGGTCTTCTGTAAGACATGGAGAGCGGGCCATCAAATCCGGTCGCCACATCCTACGTACGACCCATGCATCTTTTCTTACTACATATCTTAGTAGCCTTGTGATCGTCTAGTATTTTCACTGTCGTCTTTGCTTCCCCTTCACATTGTGTATTTACTTCTTACTGTTTTCTCAGTTAAAAGTTTACCATGGTTTCTTTTATAGGACTCATGGACATCACGCACAGACTAGGCTATTCATGACCCTGAACCTGTGCAATTACTGATATGATTGGTTACTTTAGCCAAATGATGCAATAAGTAAATTTCCAATCACGTGTAATCTGGTGGTATTTTGTTGACACATAGAACCAGCTATGTTTTGGTTCTATAACTTTTTTTATGTCAACCTGTCACTTATATTTTTAGTGCACATTTAGTACAGTTGGCCAAAGACGTTAATTAATGAAATATACATGTAATGTGGCCATTAATCATAAGAGCAAAAATTCTAGCAAAAGTCTTACATTTGATAATTTAATAAACATGGATAAAAATAAAGTATAAGTATGGCCCAGCCCCTTTTGTACAAACTAACACCTCTGTGTGTGAATAAAATAAGTAATAAATTAATTATAGTGTCAACATGTAGGGGTATAATAAAATCTTCAATATAATTTCATACAAAAATGACGAACCACAAAACTATTACAGATAATGAAATATTTGTTTTTTTGTTTAACTCCATAATTTGACAGATTGTGTTATTAAATATAAGGTAGAGCATAATAGTTGCATTTTAAATGGATAGTCTGTTATTATGCTAGAATATGGTATAGTCTTGGTATTCATACAATCTATTCTGATTTTAAAAAATAAGATTCCCGGTACTTATTATATTTTATTTGTTTAAATTTTCATGTTATTTTTTTATTTTATATTTGATATTTAGTCCCAAATTTATTATCAAAATATTTGTACTTAATGTTAAAAAAAATTGAACATGTTACAAATGGAATGTATCCGTATTTTAAATAAGGAAATATTCTGTATTGAAAAAAAGAAAGAACTAACATAAAGGATTGATTGAAGTTTATTAATTTCCCAATTTTCTTGGATTCATTGTAGTGTAGAACTGTAATATTCTCACATCCATTTATTGTGAGATATTACTACTGAATTGATCACAAATATACTTTCTATTGTAAATATTTTCAAATTACCATTTTACATGGTTTTCTTAGTCTTTTAGTGATTAATTATTAGATTAGTTTTGTTTGTTTCAAAAGAATTTTTTTTCATGTTATTTAGTGTGTTTTTATAGATTAGAAATCCAACGGACTCAAACTTAGTTAATTTTAATTTAAAATACTGTAGTTTTTTTTTTGTTTTTTTTTTTTAAAAAAAGTGTGGGAGATTTATTATATTATATTTTTAGAATTAAAGAGCTAAATTATATCTTTCTCATGTATTTATAGAAAGTATTAGATAACAGTCAACAGTATTGAAATTATCTTAGTAGATTAGGTTATATTTTCATATAGACATGTTTAAATATTATTTTCATTATATATTGCATAGACTACATAATTTAGTTTATATTGCATATAGGCTACAAATTTTAGTTTATATTTCCATTATATATTTTTTTTGCATTGTTCATTATATAGGGATTGCATATACATACATATTTTTCATTATATACGGCATCCGTTACTCACTCATTGTTGTATATAATGCATGTTTGTATGTATTTTGTTTTATGATTATAATAATTGTATTTTAGTTTTTACTTAGTTTTATTTTAACTGTTTTATATATACTATTACATGTCTATATATAAAGCTATATTTGACACACAGCATATCTCCCTATATAATAATATACTCAGGGTCAATAAAGCAGATTTAATCAAATGAAATATATGGTTTAATTATTTGCAGTTGTCAAATAACAACAAAGAAAAAAATGCAAAGCCCACATTTAATTTCACTTGTCCCAAAATTCTCAAATGGTAGTAAATATTCTAAGAATCAATTAAAGCTACAATTTCATATTTTTAAGTTATATTTTTAAAATGTATTAAAATAAAGCCTTAAAATCGATGCTATGTATAAACAGTCCTACCTTGATAAAGAATAATCCTATTAATCCTATAATTCACTATTGCCAGCGGAGAAATTGGCAAAAATATCATTTTCAACTTCAATTTCAAACGTTTGTAGATAGCTATTCCATGGTAGGGAATAGAAAAACAAGGGAGGTAATTTTGTTATTATTTCCGGCGTGAAACAGTTTTGAGTGTGAAAATGATAACTATGATCGTATAATAGTGAGTTGACAACCTATTGAGCAAAAGACATAGAAATAATTATGTTTTGACTTTCTTAAGCTGGAAAAACATTAACTGTCAGGAAGCTAAGAAATTGAATGTAAAACTAAATTAAATTTGTTATAAATGAGCTGATAAATCTTGTAACCTTTGCTTCAGAAATTTGGGTGGGTGTCTCGTGAGTATTTTAAACTGGATTTAAGGGAAACATTTCCCTCATAGTAGTGTATGGGGTATGTCCGTCCCAGTCAGTGCAGAAAAATAGGACGTTAAACCCCATTTCATTCATTTATTCTGGGTGTTTTATGCCAGGTTTTGAGGCATTGATTAAGAGTGTGAACCTTATGGTTAACCATCACTGAAGTGCACATAAAATAGAAATAAATGCATGTACATCTTCCTCATTGTAAGTGCGTGTCAAGCTTATGTGGAGATGAATGGTTTTTAAAAGCCTTATAACAAAATATGACAAATATTATTCAGAGGATAACTTACGCTCCTTTTACAATGCACTTATATAAACTTATGACACATAATTTATTAAGAGTGCTTTCTGAATTTTCAATCACAATTTAAAATGGTTTAGCAAAAAAAACGTTTGGTCGTCCTCTTTTTAAGATAGATAGCGACGTTTACGCCCACCAGAAACAATGTTGTCCGAGTTACATATAGCTCTAAATGCATTGTCAATAATTCCACTCCACTCCGCGCAAGTATTAGAAAATGCCAATATTCTTTGCCAATATGTCTTTGATCCGCCGAAAAGAATTTGACTCCGTGATCGGGATGGGATATTCAACAGTATGATTTATTTCCCGCCTGTGTTTTTGAACTAGTTAAAACGAAATAGAAGTGACCGGGCTTTTTACAACGAAACTTAAGCTTACCTAGCCCAATGTTCCAATTTATTGGGGGTTTTGAATACAGTTCTTATTTCTTCATGGAGCCACGCTTGGCACATTGGGTTAGACGTTGGATCAATCCCTGGCACATGGGTTAGGCGTTGGTTCAATAACCAGGGCGCCGCAAAAGGATTTTTCAGTGTGGTTTCTCCTTGTCTGGTGGACTTTTATAAGTTAATGCCGAACTTGCTAAGGTCACTCCTATTTTATTCGAGTTTTTGAAATGGGTAGTCAAACGCTGGCTTGTTTACACCATATCGCGTTTATATCATCTGTAGAAGATACCTGATGTCAAATTTTTAATTCATGATATCTTAGTATATATTGAACGGAAAAATGAAATAAATGGGGTTTAGCATCCTACTGTTCTGCTGTAACAATATTATGGCAATATTGGTTCCAAATTTATGAACGCATGAAATATATCACGTAATTCAACAGACTGGTCATTTACCTTTTTGGTTGTCATAAATACATCATTTGGTTGTCATAAACTTAGTATATCCTCTCTTGTTTATGAAGACCCGCCAACGGTGATGAAATGTATTTTGTTGACAAAATTAGGTAATAAAAAGTCCCTGCCGTAATGGAAGGTATGGGGCATGTCTATTCCATATATAGAATTTGGTATTTTGGTCGGTCTATGACGTAAACCAAAATAGACAGCGGGGATGTAATTCGACAGAACTCACCCAGACTGACATAACAGATATTATTCTTGAGAACGGGGGAGATTTGTGACTAACAATTGTATCACATTTTGAAGAATAAAAATTAGAAAGACCCTAACTTGTAGTCTAGTTTTGCCCACGAAAGAAAAACACAACGTTAAAGTCAAAGATCCAGTAGTACTACACTGCACCAACTGGGATAATGAAGACGGCCATGTGTCATGCATTGTACTACAAGGAAATTTTGAACGGAAAGTAATGTGCCCGCCAATGTATACACGCTGTTCCACCTCCGTCCTGCACTACTGACAAGAGAAGAATATACGGAACGGATTTGAACCATTTTAGGCTGACATTTGTTCACAGTTACGTAGTTTGCAAGGGATTATAAATCCTGCAAATGGCGAAAAGGGACTTTTAAGTATGCCTGATATTGCATTATGTTTATGGGGTGGGGGGGGGCTACTCTAATGCCAGCATGCCTTGCTTATCAAAGGATCTGGTTTATAAAACTCGCCTCGATTATAATGATTAAAATGAGTCATGTTGAGATGATTGTAATTTAAACATTTTGTTATAAAGATTCTGCTTCAGGTAAAGATGAACCAAAAACATGGCGCGACTGCTTTCGAATGAATGAATAACAATAAAAGCGTGTAAAATTGATTGATATAAATTTTATTTCTTGTGGATCAAACTTAGAAGTCTATACAGTGAATGGCCCATGTGCTGTACTTGATAACGAAAGGTAAATTTCACCTACACATTATTTTTATAAAATGAAAGTCTAGTTTTATCCAGACACCGCATAATACAGCTTGGGACACCGGTCTTCATTTCCAGATGAAGACTGACGGGTTTAAGTTGTTGGAAAATGTATCACATATATTGAGTTTGTTACTGGACCCTAAGGTAGATGATTTAAAGGGATTTTAACACAAAATTAAGCAGTTTTATTCTCCAAAATATTATCGGGATTGGCCCTTTAACAATAGTTTTTATAAACATGAAATGTCTGAAGCTTATTTCAGCATCAGTAAATTAAAATAAATGATTAAGAAATATTCTTAAATAAAATAATTGATGTTGATATTAACAAGAAAATATAAGGCGTGAAACTTATTTGATTGTGAATAGATTAAATAATGAATAAATAAATGTTTTAAATATGAAATGTCTGAAGCTTATTTCAGCGTCAATAAATTAAAATAAATGATTAAGAAATATTTTTCAATGAAATAATTAATGTTGATATTAACAAGAAAATATAAGGCGTGAAACTTATTTGATTGTGAATAGATTAAATTAATGAATAAATAAGTGTTTTAAATATGAAATGTCTGAAGCTTATTTCAGCGTCAATAAATTAAAATAAATGATTAAGAAATATTTTTAAATGAAATAATTAATGTTGATATTAACAAGAAAATATAAGGCGTGAAACTTATTTGATTGTGAATAGATTAAAATAATGAATAAATATGTGTTTTAAAACGAAGAATTTAATGTTGATATTAACCAAAGTTTATGAAAATGAAAGTTGTAAAGCTTATGGTTATGAATAATTTAAAATAATGGGACACTTTTTAACTTTGATGAGTGTTTAATCAAATTGTACCTCTGTCAAGCTTCATGTATATGAAACTTCGATGAGTGCTTAATCCAATCGTATCTCTTTCCAGCTCCGTGCATATGAAACTAATGAATTTCAATATTATAAACTAACTATTCCCAGCTTTTCCATTTCGTGATCTTCTTGAGCGGCGTCTGTGTCTTCCTTGGAGCAAGTATTGTTATATATTGCGTTCCGTAGTTTAAAGATGATATAGATGAAAGAATGACAGAGAGGTGCACCCGCAAAGGGGACTAAAAGTACGTACATAATGGCCACATCAGTTTTGCCGGAGTAATCGAGAATTTTGTAAATATATGGTTCATTCTTATGATTAGTTCCACCAACAGCCCAATATAATACTGTAAATAGTGCATAAACCACACAGAATATGACTGAGTGAAAGAAGTGAATTAATTTGACTGGATGTCGGCTTATTATTGTATCCAGAACAACAAGAGCTACATTGATACCATGTGTATTAATACTAACAGCCGTTGGACCAGTTTCAGCTGGAAGAATAAAACAAAATTATCTCGTAAACACAATGGTCCAGGTTTCGTAGTCCCTTTAGGAACGGTGTTCGGACTATGTCCTCTGATCGTTCCTGTTCGTGCCTATATTACGCTGTATGAAAATACCATTCTACTCCCACCCGAGTTCTAAGACTATTTTGGAACCCCTACCTTCTATGTTCGCCATAAGCAATCATTTCTCGCCACATCTGACATAAATTTATAATAATTCAACACTAGAATTTTGCGATTAAAAAACAAAAACAAAATACATTTGAACTGGTCCGCCATTACGAGACTCGAACAAACGCAGAGTCCTCATATTTTCTAATCGCATTAAAATAATGTTGAATTATTATGAATTTGTGTCCGATATGGTGAAAAATAGAGGGTAAGGATTCAAAATAGGCTTAGAACAAAGGTGGGGGGGGGGTAGAGCGGTACATTCATATTGCAGCTTAAAGGAACTACCGATTTAGATGTCTTTAGACTAACACACTGCTATTTACTGTACTGGAATTTTACATATTCGCACATATAATAACACGATGCCAGCCTCGCGGCTATGTCCAGAACTAGTGGGAGTCGAGCTTGAATACCTGGGAGTCACCAGACCCGTAACTGGGGAGGGGGAAGGCGCACGAAAATTGACCGATTTCTTCAGTGTGAAAGGGAGAGAGACACCCCTCCCCTCCCGCAACCCCACCCTAGATATACATTGTCCGTCAATTTTACAGCACCACTGAGCTAGTTACGGCCCTTGACTATATAGACCCATTGCAAAGAAAATCAAACCAAACATGATTTTATATAGAGCGCATTTTTGCTATCGCTGAACTTCTTTTCTGGTCACAATTTTAAAACTTTAAATATTAGAATAAAACTTTTAGACGAATGCATTCAAACATGTAAATATCGAGATTGGCGGTAAGAAAGAGGGGTTCAGGAATAATATTGAGATG